GATTCTCCAGAGTTCAAGTTACTTATTATAAAAGTTTGAAATTTCTGGTAGCTTTTTTTCTGTTAATAAAAATAAATTTAATCTGTTCGGTTAACGAATCTCCATAAAATGACGTGTAAAATTAGAATTTTTTAAAATTTCAATAACTTTTTAACGGTTTAGTGAATCGATTTATAATTTTTACAGGAGTTTTAGAATTGAATGAGGAACGTTCTTCCAAATTTTTATTTGCCTCGTAGCATTTTGACATACCTCCCAAACATCCTTAATCGGTCCATATTCGGAGCAAGTTGACTGTGACACACAGACACATGAATGACTCTAATGATAACGTACAGAACCCTCAAATTGCTCTTGTGTTATATTAATTGATTGATATATTATTTAACGGTATCTACAAAAAGAACTTCTCATTTTGTACCGATCCTGAACAGTAATTACCTTTGAAGCTATCGCATTAGCATTAACTATTTCTTTCTTTTGATGTTTTTAGACCTGAAAAGGGGAAGCAACTGGAAATCAATTTGGATACCACTGAAACAACAAATTGTATGCAGTGATATTCCTTTTGGATTTGGTTTGCTCATCACACTTGTGGACTTTAGAACTCTACTTTCTACTGTTAATTAAGGTGAGAATGTATGACATTAATATTAATTGCTGGTTATTAATATGTTGCCACCCTATCTGTTTCAGGTCGACGGTGGAGAAGACAAAGAAGATCCCGTAGTTAAAATACTTTATCTTGCATGTTCTATTAGACACAATTAGAATTAATTTTTTATTTTGCATGGTTTTTGTAGTTCATTTTATTTGAATTAGTTTTTTATTTTGCATGCTTGTTTTTGTTCATTTTATTTGAAGTAATTGTTGATTGTAGATGTTTTTATTTTTTTTGGTNTACAACAATATAATTCGAAGATTTAGGTGATTTCTCCCTGGTGTAATGGTACATCTCCTTTTCAGTTCCTCCTTCCTCCTTCCTACAGTTTCTCAATTTTTTGGGAAAAAGAAATCAGAGCTGGCATGAGGTCAATGACAAATTGTATTCATAAAATCCGTTGACCACTGCTGGTCAAGGGTGGTAATAAGGTCATCAATTAACACGAAGCCAATGATTACGATGACGCCTCGATGTCTGAAAACGATAGTTTTGATATTAGGCTATTGAAATCCAAAATAAAACCTCTGGGAAAGGAACGTCAAAGCTGACATGAAGTCAGCGACAAGGGGGTGGGAAATTGGTACTAATTTAAATTAAAATTCCCTCGACCATTGCTGGTCAAGGCAGGACTACGGTTGTGAAACCTAAGGTTGTAGCCCTCGAAAAATCGTCAATTGACCGAAGTCAATGACTAATATGACAACAGCAAATGAAAACATACACAAATGCAGTTGTCAAATTTTGGTCCCACGATGCCTGAAAAAGAATGACTGCTTGGATTTTAGGATTTTGAAACCCAAAATAAAAGCTCTGGGAGCAACGTCAAAGCTGGCATAGAGTCAGCGACAAAGGATGGGAAATTGGTACCATTGCTGGTCAAGGCCATGACTACGGTTTTAGGTCGTGAAACCAATGAAACCAAAATCAATGACTAAGCTGACAACTGCAAATGAAAACCTACACAAATGCAGTTGGTCAAATTTTGGTCCCACGATGGATTTAACGCATTTTAAATTAAAATATTTTAACAGTTCCTAATAATCTTAAGCATAAAGAAAATGTTAACTCTAGAAAAACTACATAGAACCACTGGATTCTGAAAAATGATTATGTACATCAACTAAGCACATTTCGTATTTTAATCATATAATTATTTAGAGAATGTAGGTGTACACCATGTTGGGCGAAATCATATAACTTATTATTTTTGTCACAATTAGATGTATAGTCATAAGTTTTCTTTTAGTCACTAGTCCTTAAGTATTTTTTTTTCTTATTTTTTCAACTTTTCCGTTTGTATCAGTTTTTAAATATAAGAACTTGTGACATAGGAACGATCGCCGCATGTTAATATGCTGAAAATACGTCACTTACCTATTTGAAGATTTTCAAGTCACTGAAGATGAGTACCTAAGGGACCTAGATATAGAACCTAGTACTGTTTCAAACTTTTATAAGCGAAATATTCAAAATAATTCTCACAATCAAATAATTTATTGTAAAGATCAAATAAAATGCAAGAAAGAAGTCATTAAATAAATCGCCAAAGCATATCAGGTGCGTACTTTCTAGTACTTAGTAATTAATTCTAAAAAATATGTTGACTTAAATTGTTGCAATTTAAAAAAAAAGAGAACTTTTAAGATATACTAGATGATTTTTTTTTTTTTGACATAGTAATTACCCTACTCCGAAATTTGACGTAATATTTATTCATTTACACAATTTTCGTTTTAGTCTGACAATAATTTATTAGTAAGACAACCATTTTATAACTGTTTTCTTGGTTTCAAAAGTTTAAAAGTTTATTATTGTTTGTAAAACTTTTCAAATTAACATTTACATTTTTGTAATACATATATTGTGCTGAAACAAGATAAATTATTTCAATAAACCAACTGATGTTGAAAACTGTAATTTTGATAATTTTAATAAGCAGATAACAGCTCATGGTCAGACTAACTGCTTTATTGGAAATTTTATTGTTAAGAGGCATGAGAAATATGTAAACAACAATTAGTTAAATTTTTACTTTAAAAATATCATCCCTTAATAAATTCCTAGCTATAACATTTACATTAA